TAATAAAATTTAAATGTAATGAAATGAACTAGTAATAATAAGGGCCTTCAATTTTTCAGGTCAAAAGATTTTCAGACCACTAATTTCCACACAATATGTTACATAGTTCTCTCTTTTTGTACTTTATTTGCTCTTAATCATATTTTTTATTTGTGTACTAATACCAATTTTTGTAAAATACGATATATAACTTCTACAACTTCCAACAATATTCTAATAATTAATACTAACTTAAGTTACACATTTTATAAAAATAATGAATTAAAAGCAAAAAGTTAATTTAGATTTTAAAATTACAATCTTGATTTAAATGAAAAACCTAGTTTGCAGCCTTTTCTTTATAATAACGACTTTTTAATACAACTTGGTAAAATTTTCACTATTTTTATTTTGGAAATTGATCATAGCAGAAATTCTGGTCTAATTGAAATTAACATTATGTATAACCTTCCAGCGCATTTTATTAGTATTATTTTATTCTATTTAAAGGTCGACTGAAAAATTAATACTGTATATTTTATCTTTCGGCTTTTCCAGGCAAAGAAACAATGTGCTAAAACAATCTTGCATAGAAACTTGTGTCTTTAATAAATAGAGTTTATTAAAAACGCAGATATTTGAAATCCCGCCTGTTATGCGATTTCAAATATTTGTTATTGTAGGCATTCGTTTAATTTTAAAAAACTCAGCAAGAGGTGTTTCGAATATCTCATAACCTCGAATTTTAAATGATGACAACGTGATGAGAAATGACGAGCAACGAGGTAGCACGTCTCGTCTACAGCTACTAGACATTCCGAGGTGGGACAGCGTTCGAGCCAGACGTCTTATCGTTTTGCTCTCAGTTTCCTTGGCGTTGCTGCCACCCCGCTACTGAACCGAATTCATCAACCTCACCTCACAGGCTCTGGGTTGTTTTCTTCTTTGGCAAAGCGTCGCCTTACTTCCACTCCTGCATCCTTTCGCCTTACCTCCACTGCTGCATCCTTCGCTGGATAAAACAGGTCGTATTTTATTCTTTCTTCTGATTCTCTTTATTCACCGTGCTGATAAGAGTACCTTCGGATTAGTTAGGCCTTTTTTCCAACCTTTTTGCCTCATATGATTAACTAATATGACACAACAAACACAAATGTAACTAATATTAACACAAACATGGAAAATTCACCTCCAAATTCAGAAAAATCCTCACACGAGGCATCTCAATGATGAACCCAACGTTCTCCAAATATTAAGTCACAAAATTACTTTATCTAATGACATCAAAACTACCAGATCCTTGGTGGAAGATATGCAAAATATCCGTAACGACCCAAATGTGATTATGTCCGCTAGTGATAAAAAAGAACTAAACTTTCTCCTTGTAAAAGCAATTAATCAACTGTGTATGCAGGAAAACGAGATGGCCAATGCAAAAATAAACGAATTACAAACCTCTAACGAAAAGCTCGCTAAACAGTTTGAAGAGATTAAAAACTTCTGCGACATACTTCAAGCCACCAGTGGTTTCAAAGAACAAAGAAAAAGAAAATTGCGCCATAGACAAACGGATTCTGACTCCGATGAGGAGCCTTCCCTCAAAACCAGCAATCGATATAAACAGTTAGAGAACCAAAATAGACGACATGCATTTGGACAACGAAGCTGAATCAGCCACTCAGCTCACTACCACCCCAAAAGACCAACCAAACAAAAGTGACACCATTCCCGCAAATAGAAAACCAAACTCCAGCCCCAAAACAAGCAGAATTGCTAAAGTGCCCATTATTGTCGTAGATGACGTACCAAAACGGATGAATTCTTAAAAACCTTAAACAAGCAAACCGGAAAAGAGATAACTGGCATCTTAAAAGGACGACGCCTTGACGACGTCAGCTGGCGGACTCTGACTCACATCGATTCATTCGCAAAATAGTTGAAGAAACAAAGCTTAAGGCCCACACCTACTTATTGCCCGAAGAGAAAGTTTTAAAAGTCATAATAAGAAGCTTACCCATCACCACAGATCTGTTATAAATATAAGAGAAGCTCAAATGAAGCTTTAATTGACTAAAATTGCACATAAAACAATTGTTACATTGTAAGAACAATATTTAAACTAACAATGACTGTTGCTCTTAAATGTAGTATAATTTTAGTGCTGCCAACAATATTAAATATTATACCACATTCACCCCTCCCAAAGATTATTAATAAGTTACATAGTCTGCCAGATAAGAAGGCAGACGTCTCTGCGTTTTCGGACGCAAGGAATTACTCTCATGCGAGTTAGCATTTGAAGTATTTTCAAAATCCTCTTGTCTGCTAATCACTGTCTTGGGGATCCTCTTCTGTCGATTTTCTTACAGTTTTCGTTACGGGTTCAGGAGCTTCAGTGGCCAGACCTTCGTTCTGTTGAGCAAAAGAATCTGAAAGTTGTTGGTTTTCATCCAACCCGATATCATGGGCATGTATGAGAGTATCTCCTCTAGGTGCTAAATATCGTATTGAAACGTTGGTTTCACGACCATCTGGAAGTTTAACGCAAGCGTAATCTGGGTTAGCCTCAATGAGCTCCACTTCCTGCACAATAAGTTCATATTTATTAGCTTGTGTATGGTCCTTCATTAATACTGTTCCGGGTTGTGTTAACCACGTAGGTAAAGAACGTCCATTATATGATCTTCTAGCATGGATGAACATACGTTCATGTGGTGTGGCATTTGTTGGTGTACATAAGAGTGACCGAATCGAATGCAAAACAGTTTGCAGAACGCTTTCCCAACATTCGATAGCCATGCAAGCTGTATGGTTTTCCATATAATTCCATTATACCTCTCTACTTGGCCATTTCCTTGAGGATTATATGCAGTTGCGCGACTTGTTGCAATACCAAGTGAAGTTAAGAAGCATTTTAATTCACGAGACATAACCGAAGATCCTCTATCAGAATGTATCTAGGCCAGCATCCCAAAAATTGAGAAAATATTTTTCAGGGGAGCAATAACAGTAGCAGATGACATATCAGGGCAAGGTATTGCAAAAGGGAATCTTGAAAACTCGCCCACAATAGTAAGAACGAAACGGTTTCTGGAAGCCGTAGGCAAAGGACCTTTGAAATCTAGATTTAGTCTTTCAAAAGATGCAGTTGCTTTAATTAAGTGTCCTTCAGATCTATAGAAACGAGGTTTTACTTCACTGCAGCATACACATGAATTAACAGTTCTTCTAATTTCTTCTAGTGAGAAAGCCAAATTTTTAGATCTTACCCAGTGATACATTCGAGTAATTCCGGGATGACAAAGTTCATCATGTAGTTCCTTTAGATCTATTTGCGGTTTTATAGCTGCATTTATTCTTGATAAAGCGTCTGCAATTTCATTTTTATTTCCAAGGCGATATATAATGTCAAATTTGAAACAAGCAAGCTCTAACCGCCCACACAATTTTCTCATTTTTTATTTTACTGGAGTGCTGTTGATCAAACATAAATGCCACAGATCTTTGATCGGTAAAAACTTCGAAGTGTCTTCCAATTAGATAGTGTCTCCAGTTTCGTAAAGATTCAACAATAGCATATGCTTCTTTTTCAATAGAAGAATGTTTTCGTTCAGAAGAATTTAATGTTCTTGAGAAAAAAGCTATAGGACGACCAGCTTGACTCAGAGTTGCTCCTATTGCAAATTCAGAAGCGTCAGTTTCAACTCTGAATGGTATATTATCCTCAATTGCAGCTAAAGAAGCTTTGGATATATCTCTCTTAAGGGAAATGAATGCTTTCTCGGCATCTTTATTAAGGGAAAAAGGTCCTCTAGTCAAAAAAAGGCGAATCTTTTCAGAAAAATTAGGAATGAGCAAACATTCCCAATAATGAGCAAACATTCCCAATGCTCTCTGTAGAGATCCTACATCTTTAGGAATCGGTAAATCCATTAGCGGTTTCAGTCTATCAGGATCAGGTTTTATTATATTGTTAGCTATATAGTAGCCTAACAGTTTTACAGATTTCGTGAAAAATGTGCATTTTTCCTCATTCAGGGTTAGGTTATACTTCTTAGCAGCAGCCATAAACCTCTCCAAGTTATTATTATGCTCATCTTCATTCCTGCCACATATAGTTACATCATCAAGATAGGGAAAGGTTCCTGATAATTCTTCATTTGAAATTATTTCATCAATTGTTCTTTGGAAAGAAGCAACTCCATTTGTTACACCAAATGGAACACGTAGAAATTGATAGAGTTTACCATCAGCTTCAAACGTAGTATAGTGTTTCTCTGATTCTTTGATAGGAACCTGATGATAAGCACTTCTGAGATCAATTGTACTAAATATTTTATATTTTGATACTTGTGAAATCAACTCTTCAATTTTGGGAAGAGGGTAAGCATCAAACATAGTGAATTTGTTTATAGTCTGCGAATAATCTATTACCATTCTGGATCTATGATGTTCACAACGAAAGCTTGTGCACGCCAAGGAGAATTACTTGGTTCAATTACACCTTCTTTAAGTAATTTGCATACTTCTGTAGCTATGAATGTTCTATCTTCTTCAGTTTGGCGTCTTGACTTTGTAACAATCGGTCTACAATCAGGAGTTAAACTAGAGAACAATGACACAGGGGCTACAAGAGCAGTTGCTAATGAACAAATTCTAAGAGGTGGTCTGTCACCTTTAAATTCTATCTCAACAGAAGAATGATCTTTTAATAAATCATGCCCGATAAGAAAGTCTGCACAGAGGTTTTTCATAATTAATACCTCTACATTAGTGTATACATGGGTTTGCAATTTGATATTAACTAAAGAACAGCCTGTAATATCTGGACTTAGAGAAGAGTTAGCCATGGTTATTCTACCAAAATATGGTTTTACTTTAATTCGACATCTTTTTACAAGACACTGATTTATAAAACTTAGTGAACTACCGGTATCAATTAGGGCATTCAGCTGAACTCCATTTACTAGACCTTTAGTTATTGATCCTTTCAAGACAGTGAGGAAGCATTGAAGCTGATGCTAGTGTATAAACTGCCGCTGTGTAATTAATAGTACTGTGTACAAGTTTGGATTTGCATGCAATGGCCTGTTTTGGTAATGGCCTGTTTTACCACATTCTCGACATATTGCATTCCTTAGCTGGGCAAATACTTCGTAAATGAAGGTCTCTGCCACAAAAGAAACATTTTTTGGATCTATTGCCAATTGTTCACTATCGTCATTTTTGTTCTCACACTGTTCAACAGCAGCTACCGGTGCTGAGGAAGATGTTAAATATGAGGCAGAATAATGCTCAGCAAGTTCTAAAGCTCTAGGTTGATCATAAAATTTTTCTAACGAAATACGGGCATTTTCTAACAACCGTTCTCGAATGCGTGGGTTCTTCAAACCTCGGATGAATGCATATCTAATATACTCATGTATATATTCTTCTGCAGTAGCAGCCTTAAATTCACAATCCTTGCTCAACTGTTTTAATATTTGTAAATATTCATTTACAGACTCACCCGTTTGTTGAAATCTGGATGCTAAACAGTGCCGGGCAAATATTTCATTTCTTTTAGCAATGTACAATGAATCCAAAACATTAATTGCATTATCATAAGATTGTGAATCATTAATATATTGATAAACACTTGCAAATACGAAATTGCATAACAGCTGTAGTTTTCTTTCTTCAGTTGCCTCCTTCACTTGTGTGAGAAAATTTGAAAAAGGTCTTTTCCAGTGTTTCCATTTAGATTCCGCTCCAACGCATGCAGGGTCAATATCAAATCTTTCTGGTTTCAATAGGTTTTCCATTTTGCAAAAGAATAAAGTAAAAATTAATTTTAGTCGATTAAATTGTTATAAATATAAGAGAAGTTCAAATGAAGCTTTAATCGACTAAATTGCACATAAAACAATTGTTACATTGTAAGAACAATATTTAAACTAACAATGACTGTTGCCATTAAATATAGTATAATTTTAGTGCTGCCAACAATATTAAATATTATACCACAAGATCCCCAAACCATCACTCAAGAACTACTTGACAAAGGATTCAAGGTTAACTTTATTACACTATTAAGCAACAGAAGAGAAAATAAACCAATGTCGCTTTTCTTAGTACATATACCAAAATCAGAAGAAAATAAGGAAGTATTCAAAATCAAACGCATAGATTATATGAACGTATTAATAGAATCATTACGCAAGAAACCTGGCCCTCCACAATGCTAGAGATGCCAGGGATTTTTTCACAGTTCCCTGCTCTGCACCAGAGACTAGGTATGCGTCCGTTGCGGAAACAATCATAAACCTATAGCATGCACCCATAGCCGTGACCAGAGAGCCATATGTTATCACTGCAAAGGTCCTCAGCCAACTTCTCAAATTGTCCGGCCAGACCCAAAACAAACATGTTCAATTCCAACCTAGCCCTCCACCAGCAATCAATCCCTGGACTAACAGAAGACAAGACTCCTCCGCTGACATCAGTAACGAAATCTCGCTCAAACCTCCATTTAAAAAGAAAATCCAACAGAAGAAACTACCACCACCGCAGAATCCTCCCTGACAGTCCTCTTTGACTTCTCTTCGCTAAAAACAATCTGGACAATAGCGATACAAGGACTCAAAAACATTAAAACCAAGAAATCACCTCTTGATAAAATAATCGCAGTAGTCAAAATCATTGAAAAAATAGGAAATTATCTTTAATTCTAATAAATTCAAGAATAGGTGCAACATAAAAGTCCTCTCTTGGAACGCAAACGGTCTTTACCATAAAAAAGATGAATTATCCAACCTCATTATTGAAATTGAACCTGACGTAATGCTCATACAACAGACTCACCAGCACTCAAAGTACTTTATGTTAATTATAACAACTACCGTACAGATCGTGAGACAGGAAGAGGCGGCGGCATCATAAGATTTGTTAAAAGGAGCATAAAACACTCTCAAATTCCAAATCCCAGCACCACTTTCGAAAGTAACACAATAGAAATTGCAATAGAACTCAAAAAATTCAAAATTATTTGGTGGGATGTATAATCTAATATATACATTCCACCAAATAATAATCCCAGCGCAGAAGAATTAATTCACGTCCTTAATTCTAATATTTTTCACAATCCTCGCTCAACTGTTTTAATATTTGTAAATATTCATTTACAGACTCACCCGTTTGTTGAAATCTGGATGCTAAACAGTGCCGGGCAAATATTTCATTTCTTTTAGCAATGTACAATGAATCCAGAACATTAATTGCATCATCATAAGATTGTGAATCATTAATATATTGATAAACACTTGCAGATACGAAATTGCATAACAGCTGTAGTTTTCTTTTTTCAGTTGCCTCCTTCACTTGTGTGAGAAAATTTGAAAAAGTTCTTTTCCAGTGTTTCCATTTAGATTCCGCTCCAACGCATGCAGGGTCAATATCAAATCTTTCTGGTTTCAATAGGTTTTCCATTTTGCAAAAGAATAAAGTAAAAATTAATTTTAGTCGATTAAATTGTTATTATCGGAGTAGTCGATTAAATTGTTATTATCTACCATTATCGGAGGGGAGTTCAACGCTAAATACCCCTGCTGGAACCGAGGAGCTGCTAACAAAAAAAGGAAATGACATATTTAAACTCATTCAATCAAATAATTATAACATTCATGCCCCAGACGAACCCACCCATTACGGGTACAATAGCGCTACCACAACTGACTTCTTCATCTCAAATAACATTACTAACAGATGCAATATCTCTGTAATTCCAGCCCTCTCTTCCGACCACAACCCCATTGTATTTGAAATCCCCCTTAATAAATACCTCCCCTCACTTGACAGAAATATAGGAGTTACAAATTGGATTAAATACTCGGAAATTCTGAATAACTCCATACAAGGAAACCCATGCATCAACAAAAAAGAAGATTTAAAACACGAAGTGCCAAAATGTACCAACTGCATCAATTCTGCTTTAACCTTTAACTACTGTGACTTAAATTGTCGCATAACTACTGTGAGCGGTCTCTCAGACCTCTTCTGCTAAAAACAAAATAAGATATTGTTTTTTTTTTCTTATTTGAATAAATATTATTTAATTTCATATATTTAACTTTTTCATGAAGACATAAAGCAATTTTTATACTTAAATCAGTTCATTCAAATAAAATATGTACTATGATAATAATTACTTCGCTTACGTATCTGAATGGAAGAAGTAAATTTAAAAATTCAACTTTTTTTTTGCATTAAAATTTGCGATAAGAATGTTTTAATAAGAATATAGAAAATTAATTTTATTTTAAAAATTACAATTCGAGCTGCATTTTATACATACTTTTCTACTGCTTTGTAGACACAAAAATTTTTTGCATGCTATATATTTGTAAGCTGTTTTCCTTTTTTTGCTCGGTGGACAAATATAGCACGTTCTTTTCTTTTATCTAATTTATCGTCTTCAATCGCAATGTTTCCTTCATAATCATTTATTCCGAAAACTCTTCTTATTGTAAGTTTGAGTTCTTTAGGTAAAAATTCTTTAGGTTCTTTAGGTAAAACGGAGGATAACTTTAGGAAGTTATCCTCCGTTTCACATGAGACTGCACCAATTGAATTGCTATAGAAATCTTTTCGTTTCATTTTCGGAGCCAATGGGATAAGATTGAAATAATACGAATGCATTTGTTGCACAGATATCCAAGTTTCTGAAGAATATTGCCATAGGCCAACGTCGGGTTCGACGAGCAGTTGAATAGATTGAACGAAGAATAATATTGTGACTACGAGTTCGAACACCCTTGTTGGGCTCTTGAATAGCCCATTTGAATTCATTTTTTCCATTAAAAAATATCTTGTAGAAGGAGAACATGGATTTTTATTTTCATCGGCAGATATTTCTGAAGTTGTGTCGTGGTCGCTCTCAATGATTTCATCATGGGAACTTTCATCAGAGAACTCTAAATTAGACCAATTTCGAACTATGTATTCAATTTGGCCTTAGGTAAGATATATAGAACGTTTTCTTCACGCAATGTGAAGCCATTTCAAGAATATTTATAAAAAAGCGAAATATGTAACAATAACGAAAAGTGAACTTTATCGGCCGAAATTTGAATCGTATCTGCTGTGATCTGTCCCACAGACGCTGAGGGGGAAAAATTAAAAAACGTGAAAGAAGAAATATAGCAACCCAAATGCAACTTGGTATGTGACCTTGGACAACTGATTTAGGAAGGTACTAGGAATGGCAATAGCCATTAATTATTCTAAGGGGTTGAAACATTTAATGGAAAATGTCTCGCGGTCTGAGAGACCGCTCACAGCAGTTAAAGATTAAAGAAAGCCACCAATACTTTTTATGTGAACAAGCCTTTCCTCTCCCTGCCTGCCGATATAAGAAATAGGATTAAAGAGAAAACCGGGTCCGTAAAAGATGGCAAACCACCAGGGATCCACAACTCAAACGCGAACTGAGCTCTACGCAAAGAGAAATGAACAGAAGAATTAAGAACTTCAAAAACCAAAAATGGACCAATTTCTTAAATAACCTAGCTATAGAGGACAATTCCCTATTTGACATTTCCCGCAGATTCAAGAAACCTTATAAACCTATCTCATATAGCCTTTTAGTCTCATCTATCCCCAACATGTGTGATGTCACGCCTGAGGGGGGGCTGGTTGGGAGGCCTTGTTATCTTCAGGGGGCTTTGTCTAAACCCTTGGAAGTTCCTTTGCTCCGCTACCTAGAAACAGAATTACTCAGACAAGTGTCTTTGCGGTATCTGGTGTGGATTGTGTTGGTCCTCTCCACCTAAAGTCAGAAGGTAAAGCTTGGATCGTATTATTCACTTGTGCCGTATACCGAGGAATTAGTCCAGTCACTCACTACAGATGTTTACTTTCAAGCCTTAAGACGAATTTCAAGAAGGCAGGATTTCAGTTCTTTACTCGGATAACGGCTCAAACTTTGTAGGAACAAACAGTGCGTGAGAAGCATTAGATTGGGACAAGAAAGCTCAGAAAATCCCTTAAAAATTTATTCCACCCACAGCTGCGTGGTGAAGTGGGGGGTGGGTGCGGATGGTAATAAGAATGCTCAAGGAACTTCTGCGTAGAGTATTAGGAAAATCCACCGTAGATTGCGAAGGGCTCAACACGATCCTGTGTGACTGTGAATCAGGAATAAATGCTAGACTGCTAACCTACATACAAGATGAAATGTGAATTTGTACCACTGACACCAGGAATGTTAGTTCATGGAGGCAGCAACAGTGAAACTCCAGATCTTGACAACGTAGTTGAACTTCCTCGATGAAACGCATAAAGTACTTGCAGAAGTTACGTGAAAAATCTTAGACAAAACTTAGAAATGAATATCTTGCCCTTTTAGTCCACAGGCGATTCAGAAGAAATGATGTTTTAAACGTTGGGGGATACTGTTGTAATTGGTCATCATTATGTCCGACGCATCGATTGGCCTCTTGGAATAATTTGTCTTGGAAATTTGTCCTGGAAAAGATGGTGTTCCGAGAGTTGCCAGAGTAAGAATTTACAAGGGTGAGAGGATGCGTCTAAGACTATCCATTAGAAGTTACGGCAAAAACTGATGTTGATGTCTTGTAGGCTTTTATAAAAAGTTACATATTTGTCAAAACTATTCCTGACTCTTCCTTGACAATACTGATACCGTTAAAGTGAGACACCCTCCTAAAATTAGATCAGGATGAACCATAAGAATTCCTCATCAAATTGATTTATGAACTTTATTTTTTCTCAACTTTTGCAATTGTATAGGATATAAGGATATTGC